AACTCCAGTAAAGATTCCACCATTGGATTCTGGAAAAGATAAGTGATCATCGTTTGTATTGAAATTTTTCACAGCTCTCCAAAAAACAGATTTGCCTTTCAGCCTGAAGTAGGTTACCTATCTCAGTGGCCGCTTAAACACCTCCAGTGGCATCCTGTCCAGCGCACTGACTGGGCTGTGGTGGGCTTGCCTATGGCTACTGAGGTCATTAGGCAAGAAAGCACCTTACCCTAAGCCGCCTTCTGTATGTTTTTGCTTGACTGGGGAGAAGTCCTCTGCATTATTAAGCATTCCCCTGCCAGCTGTGCTCTTGCAAGAGATTTTAGCACAGGTAGCACATCTTTCTGCCATCTCTGCAGGCATCAGAAGTCCCAGCTGTCTGTTGCTTCTTCTACTCGCACACGTGGTAGCCTCCAAAGCAAGCCATTTTGCATGTAGGGCTTCCTGGCTGCTTTCTCAGCCACTGCATTTGGACTAGTCTGGGAAACCCATCATCTGCTAAGTACTTTGCACTTTTCAGTAAAATATTGACCCTGTAGCAACAGTGCAAGGCTCTTCTCCCATAAGACCTTCCCTCATTGAGCCTATGTGAGTGACAGACAAGGATTTACTGAAGGAGCAAGGTTTTAGCACTGGTTGCTGGTGGTAGGGAACTAAAAAAAATTTTTTTTTTTGATTTAGTCACTGGCTGTCATTAAAAATAAATGAAATCACACTGCAATCAGTCAATAGATGACTATTTCCCAGGTGGCAAGACACAAGTGTAGGCCTGCAGTAAAGCAAAGAGGTCTAACTGGGTTAAAATAGAGTCCCATATTTGAGGTGGCAGGGCGAGACCCTCTGGCCTCCCTTTTTTTTATACTGTTAATAGGACCTGTGTGCAGCCCAGCTCCAGCCGGTGGGGTCAGGGGCTGAACGTGCTGAGTGTGCGTATGCCCTCGGCCAGTACAATCTCCTTGCCGCTGTCAGAAAGATGCAGAGTGGGACAAGTGTTGCCAGAGCAGCTGACTGAGCGGCGAGCAATCCCAGTGAATACATCAGACCATCCTCCTGCCTCACAGTGGCTGCAGCTGCTTGCCAGATTTCAGCCAACCCAGAGAGCACTGCCGTGGCTGCCCGGTCCAGCGCACGCCTGGGCGTTTCCACCCTCCCTCGGCTCACACACGCAGCCAAGGGCTGCAAATCCCCCAGGTCGGTGGTGGCTCTTGCCATTTTTCTGAGCTCCTTGAGCAGCCCCCTGGCATGGCTACGGGCTGTGTGCGGAGCTGCCCTCCTTCCCCTTTTGCAAAGCCCTTCCCTGCCCCCAGCCTCTTCATGCGCTGACCTTGACCTGAACAGCATAATCCACCTCAGCCACAAGCAATCTCAGAGCATGGCGGGTCACCCAGGGATATATTTTTTTCCACCTATGCTGAAATCACCACAATGGGGCGGACTGCTCTAGGGGCCGCTTGGGAAGGAACTGCTGCCTGCTAGCTCCTCTTCCAACTCTAGAGATACACAGTTACGTCTCCAGCCAATGTCTGATGGATCCGTTACATCCACAAGCTCCGGTATTGGAAGGATGCAGGGTTTTTTGCATCAGGAGATGCTCCTCTGGCTGCCAGGACGTGCTGGGTGAGCAAGCCGATCCCACGCCGGCTTTCAGGGAACAGACATTGAGCTGTTTGGCTGTTGCAGTCAAACCTTCCCTCCCCTTTTTTTCCTACACTGGCCAGCAGCTGTGTTGTTTATAAAACGAATGCAGCCCTTAATGCAGCAAGAGATAGAAACAGTGAGAGGCTGTATTTGTTTGCTGCAAGGTGGTGAAGGAGAAGGGTTGATCTCTTAAAATACCCTGACAGCCTTTCTCTCGGTTATTTAAACACTAGATATCATGGTTATGAGCTTGCAACATAAATCCTACACTTGGCTCAGTGGGAGAACTAAATCCACACACTGAAATAGCTGTTCATATATACAGACCTGCAGAGAGGGACTTTCAGTCCCACTAAATATGTAACAGTGAGGAAAGAAAGGAAAAAAAAAGGCAGCCGACATATGAGAAGGGGCAGAGTGGAGCAAGTTGTAAGTAAGACTTGTGAGACACTGCTGAAAGAGTTGCTGTGCTGAGAACAGCCAAACGTGGTAGCAGCACACCAAGGACTGCGAGAGAGATGCTTTGCCCAAGAAAAAAAAAAAAAAAAAAAAAAAATGGGAAGAGGATTCCAGCACTGGAGAGAAAAATAAGCAGCTTTACTATAAACTGTTTTTGCTCTAGCTCAGTCCATTGCTTGCAACATGTGATATTAATCACAAATGCCCAAAACATCTGGGTGTGGGTTTCCAGCTGTTTAGTCTTCAGAGACTTTTAAAGAGGAAATCATCATCCTTCAGCACAAAAGTTCTGTTGTGTCGACATGGTGTTGTCACGTCCTCTTCTAATCCAGCTCTGCTAGGACAGGAAGGGGGAAAGCTATACTGAAAGTTAGCCAGGTTTTTGCATAGTAGATGTTGAGGCCCAGGCAGAGATGGAAATAACTCAGATTTCACTAGTTACATCCTTTATACCAGTGGATTTGAAGAGCACCACTGCAACAAAGCTCTTGTAGTGAACTGCGTTAATGCACTGAGTAAATCTGTTGGTCCCCGAGACACCGTTCACCTGTCCCAGCCTTCAAAAGCACAGTCAAAGGTGAACTGCTGCTTTTCTGGTAACCTCCAATCACCCTCTCAGACTTGCCTCTATGGAACAGGAGCATCTTGCTCTGTGGTGGACATTCACGCTTCGAGAAAAAGGTGAAATACTACCTCATCTCTTCTGGTTTGAACACCTTGCAGTATCCAGGCTAACTCTATCTCCAAGAATAATGCAGACCTCAGCACCTGAAAGCTCTGTGATGAGCTTTTGTAAAAATCTGAGATCTGCAAGCTACCCATGTCTCTTCACTTAGAGCACAAGTCAAGGAAGTGAGCAGAGAGAGGCTGCAGGAAAGGAGATGCTGCACCTCTTACTAAAAGGTGAGACAGCACTCTCTGCTCAGTCTTCAGGGCTTTCCGTACAGGTACATGCTGTTCCTCACCAAAGGAACACTTTTTGTTGCAAAGTTGACATTTACACTGGTCCTAGCAACTGAGAGCTGCCCAGAAGTGCCAGCAGATCTTTTTTGTGCTGCAAGAAGGATTGGATGCACTCCTCTTTGTTAAACAAAAGTTAACTGCTTAAGCCTGACAGGCACACCATAGTGTTCTTGTGGAAGGAATGATTAGCCATTCCCAGAACAGCTCAGGCAAGAGCATAACTTTGCCCTTCTTTTGTAAGATAAGTTGGCACAGGTTCCTCCACTTTTCACTGGCAATGGCACAGGCTATGGTTAACCAAATCAAGCTTTTTGCTGGTATCAGTCCAATCACTGCTCCTGAATACACACATTCAGCAGAACCTGGGCTTAGGCATGCCAAATACTTGCTTTTGCCTCTTCAATTTTTTTTTTTTTTTAAGTTACAAAAAGGAAGAGAACCCTGAAACAGTCCTGGCAAAGCCACACACTCACTTATCCCAGAAGCTTCCAGCACATTAAATTAGTCACAAGGTAAGAGCATCGCATCCTTACCAAGGTCTTCGTCCAGAAAGCACAGTTAAGACATTTTGGTTGTTGGGCTCTCGTCTCCTGCTCTGGCCACAGCCTTATCCAGCTCCCCTGCAACACATGGAAGGGACTTTCCCAAACCTCACGGGGATGCTCATCAACCAAGGCAAGACTATGTCAAAGGGAAAAAGAGACATTCTTTTAACAGGAAACTACTGAAGTAAATAAGGAGACCAGAATGGTCTACCAGCACTCAGACTGATATTAGAAGGGAGAATAGTACTTCTGCATCAAAACAATGGCTTAATTCTTTCCTGCATCTGTAGATTCCACTTCATCTCATGTTTTGGGAGTCCTTTCAAGACACTAGTGAAGAAGTAACAATACTTTTATCTCTGATGTTAGCAGTTTGACTCCTTCAAGGGGTCAACATAGACCAGCTTTTAGAAATGCAGCACAGTAGCTGCAATGCAGTCAAGAGACCCAAATGCCTCCATCTAGCTGTCATTAACATGTCGCACTGAGGTGTTTATAGAACGTATTGGGAAGAGGAAGGACTCAGCAAGCATGGCACTGATCCCTGCAAACAAGTCAGTGTACAGACTGTAGATCTTTGTGCTATACAGTGCCATATGTAGAGAGACAAAAAACCCTTCAAACAGCAAATAAGTAGCACTCTAATGAAGCTCAATTTTTAAACGTGCTTGCTAGAGCAAAATTATCCTTTAATACTTCAATATTAACTGTTACTGGATTTTTGAAGTTTGTTGTGATTTGTTAGTGTAAGACAGTAGGATGGAGCGGAAAACAAGCTCACAACATAAAAGTAGGATAGGTCAGAGTCAGGAACAAAAAAAGATTTCATTGCTACAAAGGGGTGACAAGGGATGCACTCCTATTGAGAAAGATCATTGTACTCCCAGTGAAGAATTAAGACACAAGACATTGCAAAGTTACAAATTTATTTGTTTTGAAATAAATACAAATACTTCATTAAGAAACTTTTCTTGATAGACTTTACACAATAGCTTTATTCTTTCTCGAAATTGTCTGTTCTTCCCACAAACCATTATGGATATTCTACACAAGAACTGAAGTTAGTCAATATAAAGTAACGTAGATGGTGGTGTTCTGAATAAGCAATCCCAAAGTATTATCATTTGATATTTTACTGCTCAGCATTTGAGTTTTCATGTTTACGTGAGGACTGCAATGCCATAAGTATGCACTGGAGCTCGTGACAACCTGCCCCACCACATATGGAGAGACAAACTGAAGAACACCCAACTGAAAATCTGACTAGCAGAACAGTATCAAGCCACTAGCATCCAAAAAAGTAGCCCAGGATAGCAGGCGGCTACATAAAAACCCAGAACCAGCTCATTGCATTTACACAACCGCTAAATACCATATTTCTCAGCTACAGTGTTGCTGGTGTCACCACTGTGTGGAATACACTTTTAGCCTCAGTGAGTTCTCAGAATTTCCAGTCTGGTAATTAGTGGCAGTTGAATGTACAGTATCTAATTACACACCATCCTAATGCTATTCATCTCTCTTGACAAAGAACAGCTGGATCTGGCTTTGCTTACCAAATTCTGAATTTATGATTACGATTGTGCTGGACACAAAAACTTGAGATGCAAAGATAAGAAGCTGTCTGAAGTAAAAATCAAGCTGCTTCTGTTTTGCTGGCACGTACAGTCACTCTGCTTGTTATAACTACACCAACATTTGCAGTGTTGTAAACCCTTTGGCTCGAGATCCCAAAGAGGAAATGCTACCTCACTTACAAAACCTAAATCTTGTCCTCATTTGTCTAAGCAGGTTTTAGGTTCTGGGTTGGGGTGGCAGGGGGAAGAAGATTGGAACTAAATCTCAAAAAAGTGAAATAAAAAAAGTATAAAGATTTAGTTCATCTCAAAGTCACATTAAAATTGTCTATTTTAGTATTATATTATTGTACATAGGAAAACAGGCTTGAATACTAATGAATTAGAAGGCCTATAAATGCACGATACATTAACTTCTCTATCATTTGAAGTCAAGCTATATACAATGAATTCAACTCCAGCTTCAACATGAGGCCATAACACATTTGTTTTGTTTCCTTTTTTTAAAAGCCATCCATAATAGTGATTTTTCTCCCCCTCTAGAACTCTTCTCAAATTATGCCAGTTTACTTCAAGAGAATAAGGGATAAAGGGGATTGCAACAGTTTCAATTTTAAAGGAGGGTATTAAGAGAGTCTGTTTCGACTCTGAAGTGTTTACAACCACATCAACTTTTGGCAAGTAACCTTTAGAATTTGGCATCCACTGAAGGAGGGAACAATAGCAGCAACTGTCTGAGTTAGGAGAATAAAGATGGAGCAAACGAGATGCTTCTTTTCTTTGGTCCCTGTCAGACCCTGGTGAACAGAGTTCATCCTATGGAAAAGCTCGAGATTAATACCAGTTATGCTTTGTGATACACAGGGGGCATCCATTAATATTTCTAACTGCAACCAGTTAAACCAACCACGCGCGTTTAACACGAGACTTCCATGGACTTGGGGCTTGATTGTTCGGCATTGCTTGCAGAGTTTGGCGTCAGCTCAATGCGCGTGTCCGTGTGCGAGCGGTTCCTGGCACCGTCACCGGTGTGGGACCGGCTTCTTGTGCCTTCTCCTGTATGAGACCGGCTCCTTGTGCCTTCCCCAGTGTGGGACCGGCTCCTCTGTCCTTCCAAAGAGGTTACGCTGGAGCCGGATGCTGTACGGGACCTCATCAGCCTGGTCATGCTGGCAGAGGGGACTGAGAGAAGGATCTTTTATTAATGCCTTGCTTTGTGAGCTTGAGGAAGCCCTCACCATTGCTTTCAACCCTAACCACCCTTGGAGAAGCCTTCAGGATAGAGTATAGACTTTTCAGGCTAACTGCACATATAGAAGTACCACCGTTCCAGGCATAGATTCCAGGAGGCCAAATCACTTTGACCAAACTGGTGGCCATGGCTGAGGGATTTGACAGCTGTGGCACACTGCTGTGGCTGTAACAAGTCAGAGGAAGACTGAACTGAAGAGATGCATTAGACCTCACCTTACTTTCAGAGATTTAATCTTTGCTGGCAGTCCAGATAGGAGAGCACCTATACAACAGCAGTTGCCACAAGCACACACACAAAGTACAAACAGCCACAGATTAAAAAGGTCTCTGAAGTAATGAGGTCTGTTATGTGCAGCATATGAATCATCATCCGTGATGCAATAAGGAGATACTATTACAAATATGCACTCTAAAAGCATCAAGACAAAGCAAAGCAGATATTTGTGGGCATAGGACAACATACATGGTTTTCATCACATAAAAACCACATAAGCTCCTGACTTTAGTAGAGGCTGGTTCGGTTAACAAGCAAGTATAAGTTTGGCACAGAAAGGGAATGTTATTTCTAGATTCAGCTTGAAAGTGGTCAACATTATGCATAAATAACTTCCAAAGCCTACAGAGCAAAATAGAAGATGCCAAAACCAGGACATAAGGCAGCTCAGCAGTAATGCTATACCACCATCCACGTAGCATGCTCTAATCAGACTATATGCCGGTGACTCTAACAGGTTTTGCCTGCTGCACTCTTTGAAATGAAGCAATTTTGTTGAGGGACATCTTTTTGTCTTCTCTGAAGCACAGGGACTTCTTTCCATGGTCATTAAAGAATTTAGAGTATGATGTATCATGCATATCAGAAAACATATTTGGCTAAGTGCCTTAGAATTACGAAAGAATTACATAGATATAGCAAAGGAAAGGTGGAAGAGCTTCACCCTTACATTGGAGAATTACTTGTTGATCTAAGACTATCCACAAAGCGCTCTACTATTTAATAACACAATCTAGTCTGCAAACCCCTCCCCTAGACATCAGATATCTTCTCCTCTTGCAACTACGTAGCCAAAAGGGGAAAAAAGATAACATCTGGAATCAGAAGAATCTATGGATGGTTAGATTCACAAGTTTTGACAGCCATATGAAAAATTCAATAAGACTGATACTTACTGTATCCCATTCCCTGAACAAAATATTTGAAGGCTTCTGCAAGTTTTGCAGGCTGCAAAAGAAATTGATTTTTTAATATATGCAACACTCATCGAGTTACATTACTATGTAATAGATAGCATAGAGCACCTATAGTATCTTAGGCATTCTCTGGATTCTACTGGATCTGTCTAAGAACTTCATTTATACAAGAAATTTCCACCAAATCAGACTCTTCTCTTCCCTATCCTGCTCCCCCACCCCACTATTTTAGTCCACCACACACACGCCTTGCAGAATGAGGTTAATTGGAGAAGCGACAAGTGGTCTCTGCCTGGCCCAAGCCTTCCTAATGTGGTTACTGAGGCAGAAGAGCCAAAGTAAAACAATCGGCCTCACAAAATATACAAGGCAGTTTGTACAGGGTCAGTAATTCAGCAATTCCTAATCAGCAGAAAACAAATTCAGAGCTGATAGTTGTGTTTATGGGGCAAAAATAGCTAAGCTGTAATACGCAAGCACAAGTACATGACTGACATTCTTGAAATAAAGCACTATTTTCTCTGCTACTGCCACAGCAGCCAAATAAGCCTCAACTGCAGTTATCGAGCTTGCAAATAGCGCTTTTATTTTGGTGTACTTTCATGTGAATCATTGCAAGGAATGGCATCTGCAAAGCAGAGGCACAATGCACAAATTCTTGTGCGATTTTTAAAAAAGCCTTCCCCCTCCCACCCCACCACTGTAAGAGCACAAACTGCTAGCATAGGTACTTCTCAGTTGCACGAATTTACAAATTCGGGTTTCTCCTTAAGTTCCAGAATCCTTGCTATATTGCTTAGAAGTCAGTTTATAAAACACTACATGAAGTTATTTCGCATGTCAGATGTTTCAGCGGAGAAACACTAGGGCACGAGTAATTTTTAATTTCCCTAGATTTTTACTAGCAGACTTCGAACTTATGCTTAAACATATTTGAGAAGCTCCAGTTCATACTCAGTCAAGCCAGGGCAGTGCATGCAAGAACACAGCACAGTTATTTCCTGCCTCCCACTTTCCTGATCTATCCTAAAAATAGCCTAAATAAGAATGTTTTTAAAATGCTAGTGCACAAACCTTAATCCATATTAGCTTAAAGCACATAAGCATAAAATACTTGCACATTCCCACTGCAGACCTTTACTTAGTTAATGCTTAATTAGTGGAAATTATGTCCCTTTCTAATCTAAATTTTCTGCTTCATTGGTCTTTAAAGAAAGAGAGCCCAGATGAACAACTGACATCATTTTTCATGAAATCATAACTATCCTTTTGGCCGACTTTTGGGAACAGCAAGTACCCTACAGGAAAACACCCATTTACTGCAGGCTGACATGCTGCAGAACAGGATTAGTAGGATTTCCGTCGGTCGAATCATACCTGGGAAACTTGAGGAAGCCCACCACAGTCAGCCATCTGAAATGGGAATAAGAACAGCAGCTTAGCACAACGCTAGAGGAACTCAGTTAAGCTGAGGATATATTAAAATGACCTTTCTAGATACCTGACACAAAAATGTTTCCTTTAGTTTAAGTAACATACATACAGATGAAAGCACCAAAGCAAGTAGGTAAAGATCTATAAAAGCTGGGACTACACCCCAGAGGTGTCCAGACCCTCTGGCAAAGCCATCAGCTTGGAAGTGATTACCAGTTTCTTAGAAACCAGACTACTAGACCTGGCTATGAGTTCAATTCTGGATTACAATAATGTGATGAGGTACTGAACAGACTGACAAACCAGGGAGAGGACAAACCTCTAAACATTGGAGGTGAGAGGGGAAAAAGATTTGCTGAGATTGTGGATGGCAAGCAACACAGTTGCCAAGGGAAGCAGGGAAAGCCAAATTAGAAAAGCCAGCTTGAGTGCATGTAATATTTTTGGAGCATTTCATTTTTCCTGCCACTCCACCCCTCAAAGTCAACCCAACAAAAACAGTACTGTTCCAAGGAACACCACAAGCTGAAAACAGTTGACTTGTGAATTACAGGAAACCCCAAATCCTATCTAGGATTAGCTAGCAGCAAAACAGGCCCGTAGCAAGGTTTGGCATCAGCCATATCCTCAAGCTGAGGAAAGGCTTGCCACCGAAAGAGTATTTGAGACAGTGTCAGATTTTTTTAATGGGGATGAGTCTGCCACTTCTGCTTTGTAGGTAACTCCTCAATGTTAGGAGGATAAAAGCATTCAAAAAAATCTACTGCTTACTAGCACTTACACTGAGCAGTCCAATAAATGAAACCTAAAGAGATTTACACTAGACACTCCCAGCAGAAGCATGAACAAACTAGTTTCACCATTTGCATGCTATTATGCTCATTCCATCTTACTTCATCAGTAATGAGCTGAAGAGCGGACCCACACTCTGAACGCCAAGTATCGGCCAGAGCCTTTGCAGAGTGCTTTGCTGCTTGGAAGCCCATTTTATCAACTTTGGAGAAATATTCAAGTTATCCTGGATTGTGTCTGTGTCAGAGACAGGATGACAAAACCGAGGTTGGTCCATTAGCTATCTATTCATCTTACTCTCTTGTTGAGAGAAAGGCAAGCACAGAAACAGAATGAATTGGTTTGCATTTCCAGTCTGCTGAAGGCTTTTTCAAGCCTTTCCAAATACCTCAAGATCAACTTTGCCAGCCCTAGTCAAATTCATTATGGGTATGCGAAATACTGAGCATTTCATCTCTCACTTCTGGTGTTTTAAAATGAAGGAGCTGGAAAATTCCCTGTTGTTAACCATGTCAAGCCCCGAGATCAGTTCACCCCACTAAAATACTTACTCTAAAGGAACTGCCCTTCCAAATCACAATAATTCAGATTAAGCCTACACATCTCCCTTAATAAGGGACCTGTGACTTCTCACTAGGTTACCAGTGCTATATGATGTTGGTCTGCTTCTGCTTTTATTTGTTCTGATTTTAAATGAGAGGTATATTTAACCGCAAAAAAAACCCAGCTTTTGTTTTTACCTTAAGAAGCGTAGTCTTTGTTGGGTCCAGCTTTGAGTTACATTCAACCTGTATTGAAGAACAGCAGCATACAGCATCACACACAAGATCATATTTATGAGCTACTGGATTAATATGGATGAAATATTTTATTTTCTGGCTTAATAGGAACTAAATTGTACCTGAGGCTTTCATATATAGAACTCTTAAACCCAAGTTCAGATTTCTGTTTATATTCTTTTCCATGTGCAAACCCACTATCTGGGAATTAGTTTTTTTTTTTTTTTTTTTAAATGTTTCTGGACTCTACTGGCAACAAGTGTTGTTTATCTTGCGATTTGGGGTCATCTGCTAGAGTCCCAGGTGGTTAGCAGCCATATGGCCAATGGCCAAGAGACTGGTCATGCCCATTAAGGCACAATATTTGAAGTCATCCTGTCATCTGAGACTAGTTATAAGGGCCAAAAAGAAGCTCTTTGCTTCCACAGTGACCCAGGGCAGAACTCCAGCACCACAGAACAAGTTAAAATGCCAGCAACAGACTCCTCTCTAAAGGAAAATATTTGCGGTTCACTGGAATTGCTGTGGCAATTGTTCCTAACACAGCAGCTATTAAATAATGGTGAGCAGACAGAGGGTACAAACAGCTAAGAATAACAGCAGCTCTCCCGTGGTCCGACAGAGGAGAGCCATCTGGGCTGGATCAATAGCCAGTAAATTCACTGCGCGGGGTGTCAGGTCTGCCGGGCTCACACAGCCCCTTGGTTTGCATGTCGATTAAATGCAACAGCAAAATGCATGCTGTTACGGATTTCTCAATGTACGCACCACAGCATCCACAGCAGGGGAACTGTCACCAACCACCAGGAGCACAGGGCATCTGCAAGGAAGCACATAAAATGGGTATTATTTCAGTAACCCAGCCCAAACTTCCTCTAAGCTTCATTTTATGTCACTGGAAGGGTAAATCAGTTAAGACTGAAAGAAATTAGTTTTGCATTCCACACACCTTAAACAGACTGTATTAGCCACAAATATACTGACATGCTCCTATACCATGTGTGAGAACCTTTTCTTTTCCTGACCTCTTAGCAATCAGCCCTTCCTTGTGCTCGTATGCCTTGTTTCAGAAGAAAATGAATGTGGGTATCAACATCAAAATCTTCTCCCTCCACTGCCTCCAACTTTTGGACCTGTCAGACAATTTCAACCAGTTTGGCAGAAGAGCAGACTCTCAAGATCTCCTGTGTGTAAACATAGGCAGTGGAACAGAGAGGCGCTTGAAAACTTTTTTTTGTGCAAGATGCAGCATAAATGAAAAGTCATTAGACACCAGAAAACCTGACAGATAACCATTCCCACACCTGCTTTATCTGCATGATGTCTGGGGGATTTTCTATTAGTTTTGGTTACATTTTCTTGGTTGTATAGATATGGCTTATAGGCATTGAAAGGCTATAATTTTCATTAACTAGGGCAGATTTCCACATTAAGCTAAGCATATCTACTTTCCCAGTAGCTTAAATTTCATAAGCTAAAATTTGTAGATACCCAGCAAGTGATAGGCACTACTTAACCTCACATTCCAGCTAATATGACACTGAAGTTTGCAGAGGGAAGGTCTTCCTAATGGAGTCCCTGGCTTGCAGGAACCTTTTTATCTCCTAGACTGAATTTGAAGAGCTTTTGCTAGCACATAAGCACAGCAATTCAGCTACAGCTCTGGAGTGTCTGCAATGCGTCCACAGATTGCGCCTCTTAGCTCATAACATGTACAAGTGAACCGGCAGGAAATATGGTACTTACTGCAGGGTGACAACATTTATTCCGGGAACAGGGCGCTCAATCTCTAGATCTCGCCGACTAACAAAAAAAAAGAGAAAAAGCTTTTAATACACTTAAATTTTACAGATACTTCCATATTCATCCATTTTAAAGAAATTAGGCATTCACATATTAATTTAATCTGATACATATAGTCTCCACAACTGACGGAGAATCAGTTTTAGCCTGAAGCTAACATCAGTGTCTTAGTGGAGCCCAAGTCGACCTCTTCCCCCACACGGTACAAGGACCTTCTCCCATAAGTAAACCACCTGAGATTCCTTAAAGGTGCTAACAGGCAGAACTTTATACTGGGGGAAAACATAACTCCATCACAAGCAGTATTGGACCAAAGATCTGGACAGCATCTTCAAACAGTTTTCGGTTAAAAATCAGGTAAATGTATTTACCTGTTGTAAGAGTTGACAAAGAGATGAAGGTTGGTTTGATTCATATCATTAATAATATGTTGACGGTAAGTATGGATCAGGTCATGGTTGCTGTGAATCTCTTCCTACGGAGAGAGAATCATTCAGAATAGGGGCTATTTTCTGCAAGGACCTGAAGACAAGGCACTATCAGACTCATATCTATGCAACAGAAGTGCATCTTTAGGGAAAGCACAACTTTTTGCACTCAGTGGCGTCACCCAGAATTAACGTTTGCCACCGATTTCCATACTGCATTTTTCAGTTCATGGCTTCAGTGCTTGTAATGTCAAGATCTTACAACTGCAAAACATGCAGTTGCGGTGCAGACGCTTACATTCAAAGAAGTGAGGTTTTAAAAGCAGAAAAGATTCAGAACAAGAAGTTCAATACATGTGTTCTAAGCTTTAAACATCTGCTTTATCCTGAAAACATGTGGAACTCAGTTTCACAATAGCAAATAATTAAGCTTCAGGGACTTAAATCACTGCCATTTTCAAGCAGCTTGGTACTGCAGCCTCTATAGATTAGTTCCTTGTTCTACTGGAGTGGAGTTTTCCATTGCATTGGCTAACAGTTTCAAGCAGAGCAACGTAGCCTTAGGAAAGAGTAGAGCACTTCCCATCAAAGTAGGCTTACACTAAAAGGCCTCATTTATACTAGTAACCAGTTTTCCTACAGTTACAAGTATACTACGGTATAAAAACTGGTGGGCATACTCTGCCTAGAACCTGAGGACATACCATGCCTACTGATGTCTGTGTACGAGCTCTCTAAACAGTTGATTACAGGGGTGACAGCCTCTACTAGGGCTGTGATGACTGAGGTGCACAAGAGTCTTTGGGACCCAGCAAGCTTCCCTGTGGCATACCAGTTCTAAAGTGCTGGAAATGCTAGCGCTAACCCAATCCCAAAGTCTAACTTTGTATTTTATTGCTTAAGTGAGGCTTTATTCCCTCTTCCCAGCTCCAGGTGCTAAATACAGATGACTGAATATGCAAGAGGAACATCTTGAACACACTTACCTTTCCAAAAAGATGTGAAATGACCATGTCTGGTAAAGCATTTGTCCAACCTGAAATCTGAACAGCAAGATTAACTAAGTATTTGATATCAAAACAACCCTTGAGCAACTGAAGACCTATTACCTATAATTAAACGAACAGCTGTTTCACCGCAGTCCTTATATGTACAATATACTAGAATGATATTTCCCCCCCCCAAACCAGCTATAACAGTAGTCATTGCTTATGTTTGAGTCGTTCTCATAGGATGTATCTACTGTGGCAGTTAAGTAGGGAACACACTGCTAGTGGTATAGGTATAAATGGATTTTTTCCCTGCAAGAACATGAAATAACCCAGCCAGATGCATGTATTTTAACCTCAGATGTCCAGTCTCCTCCCTAACAGCCCACATGGACAATATTTTGGAGTGTTGAGTAAGATAACCAAAATGGGTCTGCTCATACATTTCATTGCAGAAGAGTTACTAAATATACTTCTCGATCAATTAAACATGTAAGATTATTAAAACAGCGAGTAACAGCCTTGAAACAATTCTGCATCCCTGCTCTGGAAAGTTTCTTCTAGTGTTGTAAGGTTTTCATCATAAATACCTCCCTAGACACTTACAATCTGTTTCTTCTATGCGTGGTTTAAAAGAGGACAAACCAATTTTTGGTACTTCTGATTGTTTTTAGCAACTGCCGTTAATTTGGACAGGAGCCTGAATGTTACAAATTATCTTCCATCAGCTTACCCTGAAAGATCTAATCTATTAAAACATGTAAATGACAGGATAATGTAACAATTGTACTCATTAGTACACTGGTTCCAGGGAGCTATTTGAAACCAGTTCTCACCACCTGTTTTATCACATTGTAATCTTACAAATGGAAATGAATAAAGTTAACAGGGCCTTTTTTGTACGTGAACTTTTGCTTAAAAGTCTAGATAATCTGTTCATAGTTACTGCAGCCAATACCCTTTTGAGTCTTTTTAGCATCTAAGATTCAGCTAGATCATTAAAACCTGGAGTATTTTGTTTTGAACATTTTTCTGTGCTCTCGTTCACATTTTGGATTGTGCTGGTAAACAAAGCCAAAGAAAAGAAAGAATCAAATGTTACTCTAAGCTTGAAGTTCATTTGAAAGAAAGTTATCTCCAAATCTATACTGTGTTCCAGTTTAAACTAGGTTACTGCCCAAAGTTGCCAACTCTTACAAATGGTAGCCGTACCCAGTAGTCTCATTGTACCAGGGATATCCATTTCCTAGAAGTACTTATTTTTATCACTAGCCCTACTGGAGATAGGTTTATAAATGGAATAATAGACTCAAAAGGAATTAGTAATACTTTATATCTGCAGTCATTCCTTAATATACAAACTTGTCCAGCTTCTCGGGCTCAGCAGGCTCACGGTATGTTTGATTTTTCTAACTTAAAAACATTTGCCTTAGTTGCTGCCCAGTCCATCCAGCCTTCAGCGCAAGGGTTTACATTAATGAGAACTAGTCCTTCCACCATGTCCGAGTGGTTTAACTGCAAAAAGAAAAGGTTTGAGTTAAGATTCATCACATATCCTTTGCAAGCTGCCAGTTAGCATAAAATTTAAATTAACAAATCATCTCCTGGGGAGGGAGGCAGCAGGCCTAGTTTTACCTTGCACAAGACAAGCATATGTATGGAAAAAAAAAAAAAAAAAAAATCATTAAAGCACTTCAGCTGAGCAGCTGGAGAACATTAAGATTTAACTTCTTCTCCACCCTCAGTTTAAATAGAAAACACCCATTAAAAAAACCTTCTGCAGATTAACTGGGTAGAGCCCAGACCTTAAAATGGAAAGTCTAGGTCTTCTGGATGAGCTATCCCGCAGATAATGGTATTTCACTCAAAAGTCTAACTGCCTACTTAATTGGTCATGGTAGGGAAGGAACTGCCTGTACAAGCTGTGGGGGCTGCAACATGTCAGGTAAGTTAAGTCTCAGACTTTAAGAAAGCTCAAGGAAACTTACAGCAAATCTAGTTAAGATGTAGGCACCAGCTCCTGTTCCCATTCCAATAACGCTCTTCAGCCTACACAAACGACAATACAACGGGAGAGAGAAATGAGTAAGAAAACTGAAAACAAAAATCCCCCTCAGCGCCACTAGCCTTCCCCTTCTGAGCCAATCTTTTAGCAGGCCAGTTCCCCAGCTCAGTGGCTTCATGGGACACTGGTCCTCACAC